CACAAGGCCTGAGCATTTCAATACTAAAAAAAGAAAAACCATAAGACACAGGCTTAAGAAAATGAGTTATTAGTACAACGATATCTGAACCTTTCACAATTTACTTTTACCATGACAAGAAATATGGTACCTTACCTTACACCACAGGGAACTTTCCTTCTAAATGCTTCTCGGAGTTTGTTGATGACTGTTCTGCAGTCCCGAGTCTTGTCAAACTTGAATGCATTCAAAATATTTCCATTTTCATACAAGGGTCTTTTATTGGTCTGGTTTACAATTGAATTTTCACAGGGGCTTGACAGCAGTATTACATCCTTGTGGAAGGTCCGGTGAAAAGGTGTTCGTGATCTGAAATTGAAATAAGGACCTTGTTAATTTGCAATGGAGTTAATTAATACAGAGGAACCAAGTAAATTACGCAGCAGTGCAGCAGCCTCTGCTGTGGCCTGGTTGTTGCCCCCCATCATGGTGTTTAGACACGAAACAAATGGCGAAGTGTATACACGTCATCAGTGTGCCTTACTGTTACGATGAAATGATTTCAGGGCGCATTGGTTCTAAATAGACCCATGAACACTCAAAGAGCCCTTCGCATGATTAAAGGGTTCTTTGCATCATGAGAGGGTTTTAGACTGATAGAGAATGTGTGGGTGGTTCTATATAGTACAGTATCCAAAAGGGTTCTTCTAATGTTACAATGTCAAGCTTTTTATTTAATTATTTAGCCTTTACTTTAACCAGACAAGCCATTAAGAACATATTCTTATTTACAATGGCTGCCTGGCAAGTGCTGCAAGACTTATAACAGAAACAATAGAACAATAGAAGAACCCTTTTAGGTGCTATATAGAACCCTTGGAATTGGAACCCTTATAGCACATCTGAAGAATCCTTTCATGATGCAGAGAACACTTTAATCATCCAAAGGGTTCTTTGAGTGTTAATGGTTCTATATAAATCCCTTTAGGATAGGGTTCTATATAGCACCAAAAAAGTTCTTTATGCACATTGAAGAATGCTTTCATGATGCAAAGAACACTTTAATCATCCAAAGGGTTCTTTGAGTGTTCATGTGTCTATTTACAACCTATTAGTCTATTTAGTACATAGTTCCATATAGAATCATATTAACCTCACTACTCATTACTTTACTTCTGTGTTACTCTCTAAAACTGCACCTGCTGTAAAACCCAACAGTCCATTCAGCTCTTCAGTTGCAAACAAACAGCCAATCACAGTGAACATCATTTAAATCTGTCAGCAGGGGCGGAGCTTACACTTTCAAGTTAAAGAAAATGGAATGGACACGTCCCAAACTGCCCTCCTGTACGCATAATTTACACAAAGCACACCCTATTGATGTTTCACCAGCAAGCAAAAAACAAAAACCAAAAACATTCAGCAGCTCATGAGCCAATAGCTGTCCTCATAGGTGGAGTTTGGGGTCAGGCAGAAGTAGGTTGTACGTCAATCTGGTCAAATCTGTACTCCTTTCTATGCAACTTTGGTCCTGCGGAAGGTTCACTTGATTTTTCCCTAGATTAATAGCCAACGCAGGTGTCGGCAACCCAAAAGTTAAGAAGAGCTATTTTGTACTTTCAAAAAAAGAAAAAAAAAATCAAACCACCTCGGGCCACAACATTTTATGTCCATTTTACCATCCTGGCTGTAAATATGTCTCAGTATGAGCTGATGTACTGATATAAGGTAAAAATAAACAAAAACACAGACTTACTTTGCTCTGCTTTAAGCTTTAGCTCAGCTATAGCTGCTTTCTTCACATCTCCGGCAGGAAATTTTTCCACAAAAGTAGAATAATTTCTTGTAAAATGTCCATGTTTGACTTTTTACGAGGCTGAAGTCGCTTCTCATTCGTCAGCTTCTTGTTCAGATTTTCCCGTTCCACCTTAAATGGTGCCTGAGGCGCCAGAATGTAACTGCGGCATCATTTAAGGTGGAATGGGAAAATTCAAGCAGGCAAAACAAGGAAACCCCCCTCCACATTTTTTCATATCTTCTATCATTCTATCACATTAATTAACTGATACACATACATACAGTACTAATATAGCACCTTGGCTTTAACCTCTTATTCTCCAGGGTATATTTTGGTTTGTTCATCTGAATTTATGTGACCAAATCGTAAGGCAAATTATTCAGTAATTGCATGAAATAAAAGTACATTTTATATATATATTTTTTTTGTAAAAGCTCCTCTCTAATGAACAGAAAATGTGTTTTTATGATCATACACATATTGCTATATGCTTACAGTTTACTGCTGAAAGCCAAAAATCTTAGACGCTCTTTGTATTATTTTATAAAAATAATTTTTACAGAGCAGATCACTGAAGAGACGCCATCTGTTTATAGTTTATAGCCCAGATTTGTGGAAAAATGGGTCGACTTTCAATAGAAAAAAAATTGTGAGTTCAGCCTTTTTTTTATTGTAAGGGTTTAAAATTACATCACCCATCTATTTGACTGGAGACAGTTACAGCTCTCATGACACCCACCTTTTGAATGTAGCTTATGAAATATGAAAGTTAGGAAGAATATGACGAAGTGCGTTTTGGAACCACCGGTGGTCTCAAGGAGTTGAACAGGTTAATATCAACACAAAGGCCTTCCAATGGCACAACAGCTCGCTTCTCTCACTCCAATTCAAACAGTGGACAGTGGTTGATTGACCACCTGCCACATTAGCTTGCTAGATTAAAAAACATCAGTTAGCTAACTCCTATCTTCTCTCCACATCTCTATAGTTTTCCAATAGCATTAAACAAACAGAGAGAGACTTAAACCGTTTTCTCCTGTTTCTGAAATTCGGCTCCTGAGAAATAAAACTCAGATTTTCTTTGATCAAAAAACTGTTACATATATGGATGAACTCCTCTGTGTCTGACTCATCTCACCTCAGTCTCAGCGGGATAATATTTCCATAAGAAAAGTCTAAGAGCTCATTGTTTTCTTATATAGCTCAGTTCTCAGTCCTAACTCGTCATGTTTTGAAGTTTGGTCAGAAGCCCTTGGGGTCAGTATGTGCCCGCTGAAGGCGCCCTTTCGCGTCAGGTATTTGAGGTGCGGATTCTTTATGTTGCTAGTATATTGTGTATTTTTGTCTGTGAATAATATGTACATATGTGCATGTAACTGTCCTAATATTGTCTGTATACTGTGAATATTGTATATTGTGGATTGTCTGCAACGTATATGTACATTGTCTGTATATTGCATATAGTACAGAGAGACACCAACGGCTGGAACACACCTTGTGTGTATCAACATACTTGGCCAATACATTTGATTCTAATTCTGATTTTGATAATGTTAAGATCATCTTAACACCTTAAAAATCCAGGCTTATTACACACTAAGCTTATTATTCAGAAACTACAAACTGGCTGAGCTATATAAGGGGTGAACTGGAAGAGAGAGAGTTCAGTGTGATGCTCGCTCTACTATTTAAGAATCAATTCCATGCTTTTGGGAAACCCAGCCCTGATTGTTACCAACCCCTTACTGAGCTGAAGTGGGAGAATTAAAGCAAGGAAAGTGTGCAGGAAACCCTTCTCATTCTAACTCGTCATGTTTTGAAGTTTGGTCAGAACCCCTTGGGGTCAGTATCTGCACGCTGAAGGCGCCCTTTCGCGTCAGGTATTTGAGGTGCACGGATTCCCACAGACATCAAGCTAAACTCTCCTGCGTCTAAACTCGACGGTGAACTACAGAAAACATCGACCCGTATTTAGGGGCCTCCATTTCATCTGGTATTTGTTGAATATTGTGTGTCTACAAGTCACTTTTGTCATTTTTCTTCATTCCTCGTCTTAAATAACGGCCATACAACAGTTTATTTCCCTCAAGTTCATTCGAGATGTAATGAAGTTTAGGCTCTGTCAGTGAATCGGAATTCCTCAGCCTATAGTCAGTAGACTTTTACCCCTGTTTCATGCTTAATTTATGAATGTTTTATAACTGTTTAATATGTTTAGAGATGTGTTTTTCCACGGTTTAGTTGAAATCTCCGTTACGTTAATCGCCCCTCTGCGTCGCTGCTCTGACGCGCTCGGCGCTCCTTTCACTGCATGAAGGCGCTTCTGCTGATCGGTTCGTCGGAAAGAGATCAACACAGGTCTGATAATAACTTTCATCACAATCAGCTTTACTATATATATATATATATGTACACGGGACTGTTGGTCGGGAGACACTTGTCTGTTTTAATCCTGGTATATTTTGGTGTTTTTTTTTCGGTCACCATGTTGGACAACCAGAACATCCGGGTGTTGAATCTACAGAAATGAATCTATAGATATTTAGTTCAGGGTACTTTAGGTTTTGAAGCGTGGTTGCTGTTGTATTGTTGAACAAAGCGCTGGGACTGTCCTCAGATTATTCTTATTAAAAACAGCATTTCTAATGCTTTTCCATCTCGTGCCGTAAATCCAGGCGATGTTCTCAGTGTCCTCGTTTCAGCGCTGTGAGTGAGCGAGCATAACGCAGACACAGCAATGAGCTTTTTACAGGTGACTCGGCCTTCATGAGTAAAGGGTCCGTTTCAGTAGTTGTTACTGTCATACCTTGTAAATTATAACTACATAACCAGCTGATTTTGGTCAGCTAAACAGTCGACCTCAGGTCAGTCTCATAGACCTCATGGCAACGTTAGCTAGCTAGTTAGCTGGCTTAGCCTTTGCTAAGTCCTTTAGCCAACGTCCGTTACGTAGCTAACTAGCTCCTCGCGCCGTCACAGCCGGGTCACTCTAAATTAGTCACTGTACAATTAGCTTATTTTACTAATTTAGCTGGAGTTTCTAATTGTATTATTATTGATGAATTAATATTCAGGATTGAGTCTCTGTGGTCCCCCGGCTTCTAATCATGTGTTTTGGTGTCATTAATGTTACTGTGTAGACTGTGTAGCTTAGCTATGTAGATCGGGCTCTGTGGGATTGTGTGTGTGTATTGGTTCATTTTGCTGTGGTTGTTGCAGTGTCTGTTCACTGTAAATACACATTGCATACTATCAAAACAAGCAACACTTTCATACATTTATTAAGTGATAAAGGATTACTTTACTGAACATTAATTGATATTATGTGTTTCCCCCTTTTTTACATTTAATGGAGTGTGATTTTTAAATGGGCTTCACTGTCAGGTTTGCTCTGCACAGGACTGGTGTGACTGCAGAGCTGCATTCCAAACAAGCACGAGCTCGCCTGCTTCCAGCTGTTAAATCTGTTGATCTCAGTATTCAACTGTTGATCTTTACCTTCTTTGCTGGAATGAGAAGCTGTAGTCACACCGGCCCTTTGCGGATAGATAGGGATGTCCTATGGTATCTGATTGTACAGCACAAGGTATAACAACAGAATAACTGTTTCTGATATGGTGGCCAGGGAACATAGGCTGTAAGTATTGAACATTGAGAGCTTGTGTAAAATCATGACTGTCCACAAATTGTTTGCTTTTTTCCAGGAATAATGACAAAGCCAAAGCTGTGGCCCTGTCCTCACTGCCAGAAGCTAAATTCTGCCAATTCCAAAAGTTGCAGATACTGTTTTGCAAACTTAAGTTTAAGGCAGAGATGCAAAGAGAGGGAAGTCCAACTTCTGGCTGGACAGTAGGGAGAGACCAACCTGAAGCACAGAAACGCCAGCCGGGTGATAGACTCTGCTCGTATTACAGTAAGTATAAATATACTTATATAGTAAGTAGGGCTGGGCGTTCTTCACAACGACAGCGCAGTTACAGCGCTCAGTCATATTTTAGTATTTGTTTATTCACAAGCAACGAAAGTGAAAGATGATGGGGATACTGTGTGGCATTGGAGACCAGGAGAGCGCTATCTTTCCAGGCTAGGTTAGCTGTTTTTAGCAGCTGGCTAATTTGAAGCAGCTCTCTGTCACTCGCACAACATGGAGAACTGATGATACTGTAGATCAAAAAAGACCAAAAAAAGCAATGTTTTCAGTTTAAATATACCCAAAAGGAGGACTCCGTTTGTCTGGTGTGAGATTCACGCTGCAGTTAATGCTTTTACACAGCGAGCGTTCACCGGTCGTCTGCTAGCTGGTGTTTGAATACTGTGATATGTTCTGACATGGATGCAGTAGGAGTGATGGCAGTAAGGCGGTGTGATCCATCACTGACGTACTGAGCCAGCTAATGTTTGCTGTTTGTACTAAGTTGACATTGTTAAGAAACTAAACAGTTTAGCACTTGTAACCAGGTAGCCTAGCACTCGTCACCAGACAGCTAAAATAATCTGTTTTCTTTCTTAAATTATGACTATTACAAAAACTGCGGCCGTGCTTTTCCAGTTGGTAAAAACAGCTCACCAGAAACTTTCTCCCACTCTCCCATGACAGATTTGTTGTGTTCTTCTGTTTGGCAAGTGTTTTGTCATGTTCTGACCATAAATAATGGTTTAAAACAGCAACTGACCACCCAGGAGCAAAAATCAGCCTTCAAACTCGCAAGAAATAATAATTTGACATTTATTGTGATAAGTATCAATATCGAACGATATGAATTTTTTTTTGGATAAGATTTTTGTCCATGTCGCCCAGCTCTAATAGTAAGTATATACAAGTCAAAGGGCATTTTAGAAATGTTTACCAAGTGGTTTTCCACATACTGATAATTTACAATTGGGTTGATTACACCTTTAGAATCAAAATCAGGCTTTATTGCCCAAGTATATTTGAACAAGGAATTATTTTTGTTTTAACAGTACCTCCCGGTTACACATTAAAGGACAATAGAAGTTTCACACTTGTCTCCCAGTTTTAAGTTTCACAGTAATATGGACATCTACCACGCATGCACACTGTAAAACAGGCATGCAAACATCCACACCTGTAGACATTCACCCAAATATACGTAAGTATAAAGAATAAAAATACTCTCAAAAATATTTCTAGAATAAAAAGTGGCTAAAATACAGAGTAAAACAGTTTAGACTAATAATATTTATTAGACTCCAGAAAGCTAATCACTTAGCTTTGAAGAAACCTTGGGGGGATCCAGACTCACACAGGGGGACCCATCCTCTTGTGGTCAAACTACATATATGTTATACACGGTAACACCATATGAGTCTCTAATTATGCTGATCTAATCATAGTGGTGACAGTGAAATTAATGAGAGAAATAATGATGGTTAATAGTAGTAGTAATAACAATAATTATAATAGCAGCAATTAGAAGGTTAATAGTTAGAGTCTATATAAACATCAGTGTAGTTGGTAATTGAGGGTCGGCAACTAGTCTGATGCAGGTAGCAGTAGCGAGGGCAGTTTGCAACGGGTCTCTACTGCACTGTGTATTATAGCTGGAAGAATACCCAGATTTAGACCACAACAAGCAAAATGATATAGAATGCAGGATCATCAAAGTTTAAAAACATAAAAACACACTTACTGCTGAGGTTTCAGATGTGTATATACCCAGATCAATCACTTCATAAGTCCACATCTTTGTACATCAGCTCCATGTACCATATAGGTGCACTTTGTAGTTCTACTGAGCATACCTTGTTAGCCCGTCTTTAGCACTGCAGTGATGCTGACATGTTAGTGGTGTATTAGTATGTGTTGTGCTGGTACAAGTGTATGAGACACAGTAGTACTGCTGGAGCGTCCACTCATTGTCCACTCTAGTAGACACTTTATTAGACACTGTCCACTCTATTAGACTACCTAGTTGGTCCAGCTTGTAGATGTAAAGTCAGTGACAGTAGCACATTGTGTTGCTGCACAGTTTGTGTTGGTCATCCACTAGTCCTTCATCAGTGGTTACAGGACGCTGCCCACAGGACGCTGTTGGCTGGATGTTTCTGGTTGGTGGGCTATTCCCAGTCCAGCAGTGACGCTAAGGTGTTTAAAAACTCCAGCAGCACCACTGTGTCTGATCCACTCTTTCCAGTGCAGCACACACTAACACACCGCCACCATGTCAGTGTCACTGCAGTGATGAGAGTGACCCATCATCCAAATAATACCTGCTCTGTGGTGGTCCCGTGTGGTCCTGACGCCCAAAGAACAGTGTGAAAGGGGGTTAACAAAGTATGCAGAGAAACAGATGGACTGCAGTCTGTGATTGTAGAGCTACAGAGTGCTCCTGTATGGTGAGTGGAGCTGATGAAATGGAGAACGAATGTAGAAACAGGGAGGTGTACTTATTGAAGTGGTTGATCAGTGCATTTCTCTTCTCTGCACATTTTCCAGCGTAGTCCTGCATGTTATGGTTGGGTTATAGTGTTGGACACTGGGTGTGGCTGAGTCATTCCCCAAACCTGCTTTCAATGAATTTCAGTCATTTTCAATAAAAAGTAGGTTCCATATGCCAACACATCAAAATCAGTTGCTAAACATCAGTGTATGACAGGGCTACACAATATATCATCCATTAATCATTATCATGGTATGTACTGCTGCAAAACTGATATCACAGAAGGTATAGTGTGTAAATGAGCCAATCATATGTTTATAAAACTGTATGCAGTGAGCAATCAGAATGAATGAATGTGTATTCAGGTTTCAGTATTTGTGTAGTCTAACAAAAGTAAATGATTTTGGTGAAAATAGTGCAAACTTATCATTAGCCATATCATGCCATGAGATGGCCAGTGTGTTGTAATGTATTGTAAAGCACAAAACAATAACAGTGCCTAACCATATGATTACAATGTGAAATTTTGTCCATATCGTTCAGGAAAAAGTACTGTGCACTTTGAAGCAAGTTGATGTGTTCATGTGAGCTGTATAGTAGTATATCTACTCCTTATTTACCATTTTCTATTGCCCAATCAATGTGACGTGCTCATTGGTATAAACAAATGCTGCAACTATAAAGACATATTACATTATTCTTTTGTTTTATACTACAGACTCCACCCAAAAAATAAATAATACAAAGCACAGATAGCACAGTGTTTAAATGTTATTTTAGGAAAATAATCACACTACACATTCACATCATTGTACAGTCTCCAAAAAATGAAGATTGTTTGTTTATTTCACATTTGTTTTTTCCAGTTGTTGTAATTTTAACACTACAAAATCTGGTCAGTAGGGGGAGCAGTGCACTACCTGCTCAACCTCAAACTCTGACTACGAGCACAACCCATTGGCTCATCAGCTGCTGAATGCTGTTGTATTATCAGCTCTGCTGAAACGTCTGCATTAATTAGGGTCCTCAATGTGATGATGTGTAAATAAGGTGCTGGTTAATTACCTGCGCTGGTTTTCTTGTTGTATGAACATTTCATAAATCATATACTGAGTAGTTTGTACGGTCAAATCTGTGCTCTTTTTTTACACACATTTGATGAAAAAAGACCACTTGCTTTGTGTGACAAGTACATAAATATTTAGATCGGAAGATATTTTTTCACTTTTGTTAACAAATACATTACATTTGAGTTAGTCAGTCAATACTGTCGCTGTGTAACTTGTGTGTTTTTGTATTTCAGGTTAGAAAACTGGAAGCACTAGGCTTGAAGCCCTTTCTTTTCATTGGAAAGAAAGGCAAGAAAGGGAATGTCACAGCGGATGTTATCACCTCTGTGGGTCCTGTTTTGGATGGGCCACTTAAAGACATTTTTAGTAAAATGACCAGCTTGTATGAATACTTTTTGAAAAGTAAGTCATACTCTTTTGTCAGATACTTGTTAAAAACCTTCATAAGTAATTTAGTCATTACTTTAGTTCATAGGGCTGTTCAGAAATTCGTTCAATGATGGAGTCTGTTCTAAGAGTTGATGCCACACATTAAGTTTATTGATTCTCGATTCCAAAATCTTGACGACAACAGAATTTCTAACACTCCTTGTGCATGCAATGTGGAAACACATCACTATGAGGAGTCAACTCAAAAGCTTTGGAGTTGGCTCTTGATCCTTAAATGCATCGTTTCAGATAATTAAATCTTTTTATGATTGACGTCCAGCTCTGTCAGAACTTTTTTTCTCATTCCACTTGCAGATTCCAAGAGATTATATTAGTGAGGTTTCTAGTGGAACTTAATTAATTGGGAAGACACATAGCAAAACGAGTTGAGAATATTACACCCATGTAGAATATTTTCCCACATTTATACTTTTGTACTGTTCTGTTAAACAGACTTTACATGTTTTTCACTAGTCTTTAAGTTAGTGTTTGATATTTTAAAAGGTTGATTATGTGGCAAATAAGATTATGTTTCAGTAATAACAGCAAATACATGTCTTTCAGATCGCTTGTATGGATCTGGATTTTCTAATAAATATTAATTCTTTGTTATTGAACTTCTAAATAGATGCTTTGCCTTTTTGAATATTAAAGCTAAGTAATTTATCACTTGAAAATATATACATGGTCATTGTTTTGTAATCTTCAATACATTTTTTGACTTTCATCATGTTAGCAAACACCAAAGTGTTTGGTATATGTGTCACCTCAGATTATTATCAGGATGGATGACGTTTAAGAGTTCTACATGCTCAGATAAAATTAATGTGAAGATAATTGAGTGTTTGTTTATTAGAGTTCATGTGCTTCTTTTTCCATGTAATTTTTACATGTTTCAGGTCATGCAACGCTTCTGGCAGCCACCACAACAGCAGACTCTGGGAATTCTCCACAAACACTTCCTGAAGATTCTGCTCCTGATACCGATACACCCCATGAAGAGACATACTCTTCAACTACTGATGCACCCAGTGATACAGAGCACTATGTGCTTAATCTAATCCCCATCCCACCCTTTCAAACACCCTCTCTCCTCACAGAGCCTGCATCTGTTACCTCTCTCCTCACTCCACCCATTTCTGCTACCTCTCTTCTCACCCCACCTACATTAGCTACCTCTCCTCTCGCCCCGCCTACATCAGCTACCTCTCTTCTCACCCTACCTACATCAGCTACCTCTCCTCTCGCCCCACCTACATCAGCTACCTCTCCTCTCACCCCACCTACATCAGCTACCTCTCCTCTCACCACACCTACATCAGCTACCTCTCCTCTCGCCTCGCCTAAATCAGCTACCTCTCCTCTCGCCCACCTACATCAGCTACCTCTCCTCTCGCCTCGCCTAAATCAGCTACCTCTCCTCTCGCCCCGCCTAAATCAGCTACCTCTCCTCTCGCCCCACCTACATCAGCTACCTCTCCTCTCGCCCCGCCTACACCAGCTACCTCTCCTCTCACCCCACCTACATCAGCTACCTCTCCTCTCACCCCACCTACATCAACTACCTCTCCTCTCGCCCCGCCTAAATCAGCTACCTCTCCTCTCGCCCCACCTACATCAGCTACCTCTCCTCACGCCCCGCCTACACCAGCTACCTCTCCTCTCACCCCACCTACATCAGCTACCACTGGCTAAGTGTCCGGATTTAACAGGACACAGCTAAAGAGTCACCCCAGAGCCACCAAATTGGGCTCATTTGAAAACGGCAGTAGCGGCCAAAACGACTGACTACAGACAGGAGAAAATTAACGGCCTTATGAGCGGATAAACGAACCGCCGTAGGAGTGTTTGAATGGCTGTAAACCCGGACAGAGAGCGCAGACAGAGAGGAGTTTGCGGGTTTCAGGCCAAATTTGGATTTTGTTTTGGGCTCCTTTCAGAATGAACCGCGGCCGAGGAATCGCCGTATGAGTGTATGAACAGCCGTAAATTTGAGTACACACAGGCAGGTACAGTAGAGTACAGCTGAGAGACACAGAGAGAGAGAGATGCAGTAAAGATTAGCTATAAAAAATAAATTCAAACAAACAAAGAAGAAAGCTAAAAGTTTACTGACGTCTATCAGGAGTATTTGGACAAGTTATAATATTCAGTGTTTAGTTTAATAAAGTACTGTGTAAAAATCACAGCCTAGAAAATAGTTTAAAACAATTCATCTTGGCAATAAAAGTGTTTTTGCTGGTTATTAATATGCTGGTTAGAAGAAAACAGTTAGAGGAACACAGTTCTGAATCCTGATTTCTCACTGCAATGCAGATTTGTTAAATTCCAGCACTGCTGATTTAATTTAATGAAGGATTGATCAGATAAGCTAGTGCTGAATCTCTGATACCTGCCTCCTGTCTGTATAGTGCACTATGTGAATTATGGAGTTTTGATGTCCTGTAGTGAATGTCCTGTAGTGAATTCTGTGCAGGTGGTTGAATCACCAGTATCTCTCTGTTAGACAGTGTATGCAGTATTTGAGTGCAGGAGCTATAGGTTAAGGCCTATGTTGTGCATTGTGTAGGGAGTAGGGTACCATGTGAGATTCAGCCTATCCACTGGATGGTATTAAATGGTTAAAAATAATGTATTCTTTATTTGTGTGTTTGTATTTATTGTTTACATTAGTTTTAGAAATGTAATGTGATGGTGCGTCTATTAAGTTAAGTTTAGGCAAACAATATCAAATGGCAGTAACCATAAAGGCTGTTAGCTCTTGACAGAAGTACAAAGAGCTGCATGTGATTATTGTTATCAGCCTGACTAGGGTAGTAATGAAAACCCAGGGAAATGTTTGGGAACTACTTAAACAGTAATTACAGTTTTAACTCTTGTTTTGTTTCTTGTGCTTTTTTCAGTGGTCACTTCTGCCCCTGTCAGAAAACCTCTGTTCAGTGCTTCATCAGGGACACATTATTCTGTGTTCCCGCGTGTCTTTAGAGGATTCCAACAAGCAAAGGGACGCGATCAAGGTATGTTTTTTTTGGTTATGTTCACATAACATTAGAAAATGAGAAAATGATGCTTTCTGTGCTACAGCTTGGCCTGGCAGATTAATCACTCTTATATTTAAATCACAAGAGCTGGAGTATTTATTATAGAAAATATATATTAACAAGGTTTAAATGAGGAAATTTCAACAAATCATAGAGCTTGTGAACTGCCTGTAGATGAGTTTGACCAATGCATGTGCTGTATATGTGATAACCACGAAATAGTAGTCTTGCTCACTCAGTTTTCAAGCGCCTCAAGCTTGAATTAGTGGATATTCTGTTAGATATTTTCCCCAAATCATTCAGCCCTCGCTACAGCTTGCACATACTATGATTCAAGGTTATTTTTTATATTTAGAAATTTGTCATAAAGACTATATCATCAAACTGCTGCTCATTATGCCTGACTATCAGACAACAAAGTCTGAAAGGTTAGAGTTACAATGAGCAGAGAAAAGTGGCAAATCAGTCATCAAAAGTCAGTAACTTACAGTTGATCAGCTAATTCAGATAGTTAATTATGATACAGTTACAGATGATAACAGTAACAAAAACAGTTACCATGATTTCCAATTTTTTGCATTTTACATTACAGTGGTATGGATGCTAAATTGATTTAAAAGTGCACAGGACGCGTCAGGTTACAGGCTAAAACAGATAAATGTTTGATTTTCTTTTTCACAGATGAGGCAGTGGCCACTGCTTTAATGGTAGCTAACAAGATCATTAAGAGGTCCCACAGTGTCCAAAGCCTGGAGTTATGGAATTGTCTTCCTTATGGATGCCTCCTAAGATGACTGTCATCTTTCTCAGAGTGGATGTTAAAACTGTTATGTAGTGATGGTTAAGGGTGAGTGGACTGAGACTGAAGGAAACAAAAGTGCACAGTAATAATGAACAGTGACGTGTCATTCTGTGAGATATTTGATGTGAGCATTGCACATAATTAAAGTCCTAATCCTTAAAATACAAACCCCATTTCTAGAAAAGTTGGAACATTTCCAAATTTTTCACTGACCAACTTATTTAAAGTAAATTTAGAATTTGATGCCTGCAATACACTCAGAGGCATGTTTACCTCTCTGTTACATCATCTTCCCTTTGAAGAACACTTTTTAATTGTTTGGGACATGAAGATACTAATTGTTACAGTTTTGTAAGTGGAATTTTTGCCCATTTATGCTTAGAACTCATTGAGTTCTGGCTCAACAGTTTTTGGTTGTTATCGTCTGACTCTGCTCTTCATGATGTACCATACATGTTCAGTAGGAGACCGATCTGGAATGCAGGCAGGCCTGTAAGGCACACACACTCTCTGTCTATAAAGCCATGCTGTTGGAGCACATGCTGAATGAGGCCTGGCATTGTCTTGGTGAAAGAACCATGGACTTCCAGGGAATAGACGTTGTCTTGATGCTTATGTCTCTTTCAAATCCCAATAAATGCTTCAGTGGTACCTTTCACACATATGCAGGTCATCCATGCCATGGGCACTGACGACCTTTACCATGACAGATGTTGCCGTTTGCACCTTTCACTGACAAAAGTCTGGATGTTCCCTCTCATCTTTGGAATGGAGAATTCAACATCCATTTGTTCCCAAAACAAGCTGAAACGTGCACTCATGTGACCACAGCACACATTTCCACTGTCTTTCAGACCGTCTGAGATGAGCTCGGGCCCAGAGAACTCACCAATGTTTCTGGATAGAATTGATGTACAGCTTTCTCCTTCACAATAGAGTTTTAAAGTTGCATTTCTTGATGTAGCGACTGATAACTCACAACGGTTAACTCACACTCCTGACGTACTCCCTCCCTTCTCGTGCAGTGCCGTCTGAGGGCTTGAAGATCACATACATTCAGCAGTGGTTTCCAGCCTTGCCCTACATGGACAGAGATTTCTCAGAGATGTCTTGTGGTTAGCGGTGTTCTTTTTGAACTGTTTGACAGTTCTCTCACAAAAATCTTCTCTTTGCTTGATGAGACTGAGCCTTTGGTGGACGCTCGTTTTATATCCAATCATGATACCCTGACCTGTTACCAGTTCACCAGCTTATTGTGGAATGTTTCAAAATGGAGTAACTTGAATATTCTAGAAACTTTTCACTCGTTTTGCCCGTCTCAGCTTTTTTTGAGTGTGTTTTAGGCATCAAATTCAAAATTAAGTTGGTCAGGCAAAACATTAAAAATAATTTCTTTGTACTTTTGTCAGTTAAATAAAAGTTAAAAAATTGAACAATCACAGATTCTTATTTGCATAGCGTTTTACAAAATGTCCCAATTTTTTCGTGGGTTTGTATTGTCAGCACACTTTCCATCTTACTGTCAGTGTTAAAAATGCCCTTAACAACTGTGTGGGGGCCCCTTTTAAGGACTGTAATAACTGTTACACTACTAGGATCTGTTATGTTGACCCTTGTGCTTTTTATTAGCCAATTAAAAGTCCTCAGAGGCATATTATGTGTAGCTAAGTCCTGAGTGTGGTGTGGTTGCTTAGTCCTTCAAGTTGCTGGTTTTGTTCCGAGTATGTATAAATGAAATCAATATTTTTTTCTCATGCAGTTCCATTCTGAATCGTTTAGTAAGTGCTGTTACAGTCCAAACTACAGATAAATCAAGAATGATACAGCAGGTAATTAGTGCTTAATTCACATTGTTTGTTTTAGACAGACATTATAAACCTTTAAAACTAGAAAGATTTACAGTAACTATCTTTTAGCTGCCATGTGGTTAATAGTTTGAATGCTATGTTCATGGTGATGTCATGATTGTTAAAGTTCAACTGTCAAAATAAAAAGATTGAAAGTTGAGGTTTTGTTGTTCTGGCCAAAGTTTTACATTGTGTTTTGGTTCCAATAGTGTATTGGTTGTTGTGTATTTATGTAAAATTAAAGTACACCATTCTTTTATCTGCTGAAGTAAAAGGTAATTATGCAAAATGTTCACATAATTGAGTATATTGACTCCTGTATAAAAACTGGAATATAACAAAATGACCACAAAATTGTGCTATATAATTTTTTGATAATGCCAAATTTCTCTGAATATAATGAATGATAAAAATGTTAACCATTGACTTTAATATTGGGGTAATTACATATAATTTTGCGTTGTATTTCTGTATTTAACCAGTAGAATCCAGTGATGTAACAGCAGTATCTTGTGGATAAACAGTACATTGTAATAGTTGGTAGGCAGATCAACCAACATTTAACTGTTATCCCCTGTAAGTTTGTAGGATATAAACATTTATTGACAGATTATGTCTGTTAAAAAATGTTTAATAGGATTGAAAAGACAGTAAAGTGACCGTTAATTTAAATAACGTTTCTTTATTTTACTTCAAAAATCTGTACTTTGACAGATGCATGTTGTAGATTGATTAGACTAATTACACTGTTATTTAAAAATAGCAACCCTCAAATTACAGACTTTAAGTGTATTTATGCAGTATTTCTGTGATTTTAATACATTCTAGAGATGTTTTTTCTACTAAACTTTGGTTGTAAAATTACACAGAATATTTACAGGGAAAAGCTGTAATTTACAGTAATCCTCTGTACAGTATTTTACTGTAAAATTACAGGAACTGTTTGGCAACTTTTGCTGCCAGACATCTTACCGTTTTTTACGATTTTTTTTTGCTACTACGATCCTTTTGTAAAAATATAATCTTCATCCAATCATATACTATATAATTCTTAATCCTATAGAATGCTGTAGAATCATAAACTTATTGCCCTAATGTACCAGAGACTGAACAAAAGTTAAGACACCCTTTATTAATCTCACAACAGGGAAATTCACCTCTGCATTTAACCCATCCGTGCAGTGCACTCACACTAGGGGGCAGTGAGCACACTTGCCCAGAGCAGTGGGCAGCCCTGTCCACAGCGCACGGGGAGCAGTTGGGGGTTAAGTGCCTTGCCCAAGTCATATCCTGTCAGCTTTGGGGATTGAACCAGCGACTTTCCGGTCACAAGGGTGGTCCCCACCCACTATCTATATATTGTCTATATATTGTCAAAGCTGAATGGAAGATTTATCCATAGATGATGAGCAGCACCAACATAGTGGGGAAAAACGTTCTGTGGTAGAGTGAGAAGCGGCTTTCATAACACATTGTAGCAAACTTTCATACTGGCTTGTGTTCAGCCTAATGAATGTTAATGCAGTGCCAAACACTGCTACAGGGCAGTCCTTAAAGGGCCCAGATCATGGAAAACCGAGAGTTTTATTTTTTTTACACACAGTTTCAAAACATACTGTTCACTCTCTAGTCCATGCAGTGCATATATGGAAACTAAGCTGCAAAAACAGTCCATTCTGAATTATTTAATTTTGTGATGTCACAAAATCCAAGGCATTTACATGTATCTGCCTAGTCAACATATATAAGTTTAGCTCTGCCTATTCATGATGAATAAAGAGTGCCTTAATACAGGGCAACCAATCAGACCAGAACTCATCTACAAAGGGAAAATGGTCATGTAAATATTAATTCTAAACATTTTGGTAGATAACATAACACAAGTGTTAGAAGAGGCCTTCAATGGAAAAATTAATACATGGAGAATATAGGATATGGGCCCTTTAAGAAGAATGGGCCACATTCACCAGCTGTTCTTAAAAAGAAATTCCTTCCTAAAACTCACACAATTTTCACAAACATTCTGACATCACCAGAGTTTTCTTATTTAGGATTTGTTCTTAGGTAAGAACAGAATCTACACACACTCAAGAGCACAAAGTTGTGCACAATTCTGCGATTTAAGAACACATCATGAATCTGAAATAGATTTTTCTTATAGGACCTTTCTCAAGAACAAATTGAAGAAAAAAACATAACATAGTGGTGAATGAGGCCCAGAGTTTGTTGTTTTAGTTCTGTACTCCACTCCAGCACACTGAATCTGTTAAGAAACTATGACTATGCTGGTTAAGTGCAAATGTTAAGGGCGTTTGCGACTACGCTGAGTGAACAATATAGATATCACATTCCTTTTAACATGAGATACAAAACACAAGGCAATCAGACAAATGAACAAAAGCTTAAATAACATCATTACATATATGACCCCTAAGAGGCAGTGATCGCATCTGTGACCATAAATGGCAGTGAACTGCCCTCGAGATTCCAGGTATCTTTCCTGCTTTTGCAGGCTTGCAATATATCACCATTTTCAAAAGAAAAATGTCACTATTTAAATTCCTACAGAGAACACTGTATATCTAAAACTTAACAATGAGCCATCTGAGTTAAAAAAAAATAAATTTAGAAGCACCTTTGCCTTTAGGTTTCTTGCTTTTCTTCTGAATCTGTGAGTAAACTGTATCACTTGGCCCAGGCATGACATCATCTATATTTAAAAATAAAATAAAAAATGAGTAATTATTAACAGACAAACCAATAGAAACAGGTTAATTCTAAATAATAGTAGATGTTCCCACATTCAGTGTTAGGTGTTCTTTTAAAATAGTGTACTAACAGGAGGCACAGGCGCCTGATTTTGAATGAAAGCAAATTTTTGTTATCTGTATGTTAAAATGTGTTGACTATCAAACATTAGCAAGCTAAAGTCATTGAACGTCTGTGTTTTAAATGATACAGGGATGTAATGATGAACACCAGTGCTACATGGATTGTTTTTAACATTGTGGAAGTTCTGTTGTAAAAACACATTATTTCAGCATAATCAGTAATAATCTCAAAAAACAGCCATTATTTTGACAAAATCAGCCAAAATCTCAAGAAAATAAGCCATTATTTCAACATAATCAAAATAACAAAAGTTAATAAACGCATAAATAGTTCTGAAGAAATCAGTCATGTGAACAACGTGTGAACTGTTTTCTTGTAGGCTACAGAAGTGGCAGAGACTTCACTGTCAGACGAATACACCTCACTGAAACTAACGCTGAAGAATGACTCAGTCCATATAAAATATACCCAAATTTTTATGCCTCTCAACCAAAAGGACACTATTACAGTGTGAGGGCAAAAGGGGCAGGAGCTCAAGCTCCCCCCTGTGTGCATTACTGGTAGTACTTACCTTCACTGTGGCTTTTCAAGTGTTTCATCTCAATTTGGGAATATGCCAGATCATTTGGTGTCACTGCAACATCTAATACAGAAATCAGTTTAGACTCTGACAGCAATTAAACAGAAGCAGATTTCCATCATTGCAGAAACAAAATTCTTACCTTTTTTCTTTGTTTTCTTATTAGTAGACAAAACTTGTGCATAAGTGACATCACTGGAGTCAGTCGCAGAATCATCTACAACAGAAGAGTCTATTTAGAGAGGCCACTGTGTTCTGTCATTATTAAAGATATCCAATTTTGAAACAAGAAAGTATTCAAAGTACCAAAATGAGCTGTACCTGTGGTTGTGTTGGCCACGACCCCAACATTGCCATAAACATGATCATTACCTTTTGAAAGGAAGATCTTTTTAGTGAGAAGGGTTAACTTGAGTAAAAACTAAATGCTGGTTTATTGTTGATGAAAACTGACCAGGCTGCAGCAGTGTGGATCCTGTATTCTGGCTCTGGCCGGATGTCTGACTGGTGTTCTTCTTATTTCCTGTAGGAAATTTTAAAGATAAAAACCATTTCACTTGTTGAAGCATGTGTATGTTGTATTAAAAAGATCAGTTTACCTCACTGTCCTATAAAATGACAGCTATAGAAATATACCACAGACAGAAATGACCTCTCCGTAGGGAGCCTGTGTACACTGCTATATGGTAAAGATAAAGTGCTGATTATCATACCTTTCTTCTTCTTGCAGCAACAAATCAGGCATAGCATAACAATGAGGAACAGGGTCAAACTCAGTGCCACCGCCACCAATATTACTGTTACATGATTAGATCCTAAGACAGAAAGGAATGTGACTTTATACATAAACACTTTACTGTAGTTACAGAAGTAATCAAATAATATTAAACGATTTTCTTACTTCTGACTGAGATCCAGCTCTGTGGAGACTCTCCTTTCTCTGGGTGTTTACAGTGATAGAGACCTTCATCTGACTTTGAGACAGTATGGATGGTCATCTCTCCTGTAGTCTGAGTCTGGAGGAGTGATCCATCTTTATAGAACTCAGCTGTGAGGTTTGAGGGCTTTGGGTCACGATATAAACAGTGTAGAGTCAGAGGATCTCCCTCAGTCACAGGATGAACAGGACTGTCCAGAATCACATCACCATCTGTAGAAGAGAGTGAGACAACACTGAAGAAGGTGAAGAAGAGAGTGAGACAACACTGAAGAAGGTGGAGAATTCAGTAATGAATTTAAAGGGACACTCCAGCCAAAATAAAAATAAATTAACCATTGTATCTGTTGTAAACATGTCTACTCACCTCTACCAGTGGTGCTGCAATATTCTGTAGAGTAAGATTTTCTAATGTAAAGACTAAGAAAACCCTCTTCTGATGATCTTGAAGGCGGGAATAACTTTTGAAAAACTATTGTTAACTAATGTTATTGCTACAAATACGAAAAGCCTGTTTGCATTTTTTAGACTCTACATTAGTGCATTTCTTTATCGACATAGGGGTTTAGGATGGTTTTATGACATATTTGTGCTACACATGTTGGGTACTGTAGACACATAATATTGGTGGATGAAAATGCAAAAAGGATATAAATTTGTAAATTCTGTCGAACTGATGAGACTGAGAGATGCAATGGTGCAGTACAGAATATTAGACAACATGACAAACAACATAATAAATGCTTGTTTTAGGCTGGAATTCCCTCTTAACCTATACACATCTATTACTGCAGAGAGGGTTGGTCACAATGGGATGGATACAGATTCTCCTGTGCATGATATACAAATCTTAATACATTTTACACACCAAAACAGCACTGACTGCAATGTTTTTCATGGTGATATTAATCTGCATGTGCTTCATTATTATGTCTTTTAAATACATAACTAACTAGAGTTTAATCATTCTACATCTGTATATTGAACTTCTATGAGTGCTTAGCATAACATAGACTCACTGTGCACTGTGATGTTGACAGGATTGCTGCTCTCTCCAGATTCAGACTCACACCAGTACACTCCAGTGTGGGATGTGTTGAGGGAGCTGATGCTGCCTGTAGATTTTGTAACTGATCCCCAGCCTGATGAACAATCTGACACCTTCTCACTGTGTGTGTATCGTCTCACTCTCCATCCAGTAGAGTCACTCTGTCCCTCACAGCTCAGTGAGAGAGAGTCAGTGATAAAGTGTTGAGCTCTGCTGGGACTGACCATCAGAAAGACTGGAAGGGACATTGCTGAAAAAGGTGGAAAAACATGGCTTTAACATGCTGGTAAATATTGTCATATGCTGCACAAAACAACAACGCTAATGAATACAATACTTATACATGACTTATGCCTGATAAATACAATACAATATTTACAATACACTCATCAAACTTTTCTTAATTAAACCAAATAACTATCCATTTCTTAAGGAACCAAATGGGGTTCTTTTATGGCACACTCTTTTTTGACACCTTTATGTATGAATGTATGTATGTATTTATTGATTGATTGATTGATTGATTGATTGATTGCAACCTTCATTTTTAAGAGTGTGCATTGAAACTCACCAGCAGAACGGTGCCGATATACAAATTTAAAATCATGATAATTACCTAACTTTATCAGAGTTTATGACATTATCAGTGGCAGTTCTAGAGAATTTTACCAGGGGTGGCAAAGGGGTAGCAGGGAGTTTCGGCAGGGTGGCTGTTCATAGGTGCGATGGGGGGGTTGTCAGTTACGCTGTTTGCCAAGACCACTCGCTAAGAAAAAGTGTGAGCAGAGAGTGGAGGTTTGGAGAGTTGTTTTGTTGATCGCCGAAAGACACGTGCTAGGTGGGGCATTGCGGGGGGGATGAACAAACACTACCCATATAGGATAACACATGTAGTCTTCTGAATGTCTCTTATTAAATCACAATAATGTATTGGTGGAAAAAAATCTCAAGCCATGTGGAAGTACTCTAGACAGCACATAGAGTATAAAAGCACAGCACTATGTCCTTTACCATGAGCTGTGCAAGTGCTCAGATAACACACCACACAGCAGTACAAATTGAAAACAAAGCATGGGATCACAATGTGACAGTGTAATGGCAGCTTGTGAAACCAGAGCTTCCCTGCATATCTTAAAAATGCATAGTAAAACTGCAACACGTTTGACTAAAATGCAGTGATGGTAGTTTAAGCTGTTCATGATGTGTGTTGAATTTTGTGGTATACAGTGTTGTAGTAAGACATACATGCAGATTTATACACCATATAGAATATTCTGTTTTAATAAGAATTATTCTATTCCATATACTGACCTTTTGTATCAGATTGTTTCCATAAACTTCTAATGATGCACTGTCAAATAAAAACAGTTTTTTTCTCAAATAAAAAAGATTGCTGCCAAACATGGTGCACTGTGCGAGAAACAGGCCCAGCGTCTTGTCAAGGAAGTTAAAACGTTGGATTTTACAGTAATTAGCTGTTATTTGCAAAGCATGTAGGGAAAGTGAGTGGTTCTTTGCACAGTTTTGAGCAGCCTGTCTCTGAATACTGTAGTGATGGGGGATGGAGCTTCCCAGCATTCCCTGTGGTTTTGCTAATTTTTGTTAATTTGCTTTAATTTTATATCTGCTGTTAATTTCACGTTTTCTTTTAATAATATTCCTTTAATATTATAATTAATAGATATTTGGTTCCTGCAGTCTTTGTAGTCTTAATGATGGTATCAGTGAAGTAACTGCTGTGATGTGATGTTCAGTTCATGGTGTGACTGATAAAGAGTACTACACTGTTTAACAGAGAAATAGAGTGATCTTTCCCTTAACTATGCAACAGTAGGCATGAACATTCAAGCAGTTGCTTCCAGAAGATAGCTAAATATATAATGGTCATGTTTGCCTGTAGGTTTGCAGGGAAAAAAAGACCTGTTTCTGTTGATTCTGATTAACAAAGAGCATTGAGCTGACATTAACATTACCAAGAAACCTTGTCAACGTATTAGCATGATGTGCTAGTGTAGCATATGAGCATGGCACGTTAACTAACCTTGAGTAAGGCTTCCTAATGTCAGCTCTGTAAAAGTCCTCTGTTTGATATGCACACATATGTAGTCCGGTACATTACACTCTCAGAAATAAAGGTACGATACTGCCACTGGGGCAGGACCCCTCTCGTCACTGGGGTGGTACCCTCAAGGGAGACTTCTCAGTACCTTTAGTCAAGGAACATAACTGGACCATAATCCACTGAAATTATATTTCTGTTGTATTGACTCCACACAACCTGTCTCGTCTCCAGGCTTTTTATTTTATTGTTCTGTTTTAAAACATTAGCTTATGAAAATATACATATACATACATATATTTCAAACTTATTTAAAGTGCACAATTGGACCTTAAAACAACTGTTGTACCTTTGAGGGTACTTTCACATTGTTTGTACCTTGATAAACGAAAAAGGAACTTGCACAGAACCTTTATTTCTCACAGTGTAGATCTGAGAGTGCTGGAGCCTTGAGCTCCTTCTCTGCTGTCTAAACATTTCAGATTCATGAGTTTCTTGCTGTTGAAGTATATTTTAAAAAGAAACCTTTGATAGAAGAAGGTAAAAACACTCTTTCAATAAGTTGAGGTGGTAGTATCTAGGAGTGCCCTATGTGCTCTGTTTGTGCAGGGGCTAGGAATGTGAATTGGGGGGCCCCTTTGCTCCCATTGGGAGAGGGCCTCTCACTTTCTCCCTTCTTCTCTTAGGTCCAAATAGATGAGATCATTTTAAAAAGAACCATATGTTCTGTCTCCTGTTTCAACAACAAGAACCATATATATATGCTGTTGGTCAGTCTGTTCGGGAGGGGACATTTAGAATTGGCACAGATCCTCTCTCAGGTACTCTATAGTGCTTGATATGATACTGTTTTACTATGTAATAAACCTTTTTACTGGCAACTCAGTATCGGCGGAGTTTTTCTTCACAGCATCTAAACACCATCGCCACTAAATAAACAACACTGTAAAAAAGGCCAGCCAGCTCCTTCATGGTCATGCACATCCTGTTTTCTGCATACTAATATTTTGAAAACATGCAAGTTTCTACTGATCCAGTTCTAGGAATCCCTTTTCATAGCCTCCAAAAAGCTTATTAGGAGGGCTGTTCAGACTTTGGTGGCATTTTCCCAACCTATTTTCCACTAAACCAAAACTAACTTTTATACTGCTTCTTTATATTTTACAGGTCATGCACAGAAAAAAAAGTGCACCGACCTTTGGTTACTCAACACATTTTTTTTCTTTCAGTTTACTCACTTTTAGAAAGAACTGAGTTGAGGTAGCAGATATTATTCATGTGGAACTGATGAATCAAGTAAATTCAGTGCCTTTTTTTCTGTGTAACACCAGCCATGCTCAGAAGTGTTTGTTTTGTGTCTGTCCAGCATTAATCAAATATTTTAAATGATGGGCATATTCTGTGCACTGAGCTGTGTACAGCTGTTTATACTGTTCGTGTCATTATATCAGTACAATGTAATATCACTTGTCAGAAAGTCTTTCTCTCACCAGTCGTGTTTATCCAGAGCCCATCACTGTAGTGAGTGTAGTACACTGGGTCTCCTCTCCCAGCTCTGCACCAGTACTGTCCTCCATCAGAGACACTAACTGAGCTGATGCTGTAGGAGTGTGTTTCAGTCTTGATCTCATTCTCAGGGTTCTGTGTGTGTTTGAACCAGTAAAACCTCCATCCAGCAGACTGATCCAGCTCACAGTACAGAACCACTGGATTTCCTATCAGTGCAGCTCCTATATGGCTTGATGTGAGTTCAGGTTTAGGTTTTTCTGCTGTTGGAGATGAAGCACACAGTTCAGAACATGAAGAGTTCACACACTGATCTCAGTCTTTATAAATATAAATATAAAAATACTATTAAAAAAATCATGTGTATACATTTTGGTATTACAGAAAAATTACACACTGAATACTGATTACAAAAGACTAAACCACTTTTTGAGGTAAGAATACCGTCTTAACCCACAACAAGACTGATATATTGTAACAAACATTAGTATACTAATAAATAATTTTTGAAAACATGAAATGATATATAATGAAATACAGTGAGTGTATAAAAACTATGTATCTTACCTTTCACTGTGAGAGTAACAGCATTGCTGTGTTGTGATGATGAGGGTCTGTTATCTCTCTCTCCTCTACACCAGTACTGATCCTGATCTGCTGCTGATCTGATGGTGAAGGTGTTTGTCTGAGACTGATTGACTGCAGTTCTACTGCTGCCTTTATACCACTGATATCTCCAGTTACTGTGAGACTCTATCTCACACTTCAGAGTGACTGACTCTCCAGTGAACACAGGACTCCATTTGGGTTCTACAGTCAGTGTAGCTCCGGGTAAAGCTGTGCAAAAAGAAGAGAGGAGAGAGAATAACTCTGTGTATATTACTCTACCAGTAATTAAGTAATTAAGCATTTTGTTGAAAAAAACTTAGTTTTCACATCAGAGTATTTTTCTTTTTTTTGTTGTTGTTTTTTTGGTTGAAGGCTTGATTTGTAAGAAAAAACTAACAAATATTTACAGTACTGTGCAAAAAAAAAACAACAAAAAACAAGAAATAAAAGCTATTTAACTGGGCTGCAAGCACTTATTTACCTAGAAAAACACCAACATGAGAATAATGACAAATAGTATTGATAGAGAAAGCAGTGATTTTACATTTGTTTAGGTTTTTGCTTAATCATTTCCAAACCTCTTGTCTGTCGCATTTGTAGTTACCACCCAATATTTAGTTTCAGTGTTCTTTCAAAGTTTTTGATGGCTGGGGGGACTGAGGAGAAATCTGGAATCAAACTTTGTTTTTCCAACAAGCTTGAAAGATACTTTTTGAACAAACTCAAAGAAGCTTTCTTGAAAGCAAAAAAGTCTTTTTTACTGCATTTATGATTTTTTTTTTTGTATTTATTGTGATATGTAAAAATGTCCTTTTATAATATTAAATAAAAAAATAAAAAGAATTAAAAACTAATAAAAAATGGTTGTCTCAGCTTGTGATTTTCTGATACTAATAATCTAATTTTACAGACATTTAATGATATTTATGAACTCACCCTTTACAGTGAGTGTAACAGAGTTACTGTTCTGTGATGATGTTGGTCTGTTACGTCTCTCTCCTCTACACTGATACTGATCTCCATTAATCACAGCATCTTCTCTGATGGTGAGAGTGTCTCTGTTTACAGTGTAATACTCAGACTGAGACACTGCAGTCCATCTACGCCATGTAGAAGAGATGATCACACTCACCTGATACAGTCAGTGTAACAGCATCACTGGTGTGTGAGTAGCGTGATGTTCCTCTCACTGTTCCTCTACAGGTGTATATTCCACTGTGAGACTCTGTAACAGAGCTGATTCTGTACTGCTGTTTATTACTGACAGGAGTGGATGAATCATCTTTAAACCAGCTGTACTGCCAGTTAGAGATACCTTTTCCCCGAATGTCACATCTGAGAGTGACGGTCTCTCCTCTGAACACCTGTTTATTAGGCTGTATGGACACCACAGCTTTTGGTCTCTCTGTGTAAAGATAATAAAATAAACTCAGAACAGTTAATTCTGGTGACGTTATCCTTCAATATGTACACTGTAAAGAATTTTTCACTAGTAACTCACAAAATGCACATCAACATTTCTAAATCTTACTAGCAAAAATACTGTGTAATGTTTCTAAAATAAACATGAAACAGATCATTTTCTTAAATCACTTTGTTAATTTATCCTGAGTAATTTTACTGTGTGAATAAAAACCTGAGATCCACTACACTGGAGCTTTTGGCTCCTACTGGTTCTCTATTTGAGAACACTGGTTTGGTGTTTTCACCAAAATACACTCAGATTAAACAAAAAACTCTGAAATATTAAATTCACATACATTTTGTACAATAATAATACTGAAATATTATCAGCAGTATGTATCCTACACTGTCTTTCAAGTGTATGATTTATGACCCTGATTTATGACCCCTGTGTGACGGGCATGTCAGTTTTGATTGACAGGTCGATTTATGACCCCTCAGTGACAGACCAGTTTGAGGGACAGGTCTGCCTGGGGTGGGTGTTTTACGACACCCCACCTCACCCCATCCCCTCTACCACCAACAAAGCTTACTTACGCACGCAAACACAACAAACCACGTGCAGAATCAACTGGAGAGATTCTGAATTTTATTTGGGTTTTGTCAGTGGATGATGCTACAAGGTTCTTCCATAAGACTGATGATCTGTTCAGGGGTTTAGAAGAAATTAAAAAAAAGAAATACCCTTTTCAGAAATAAGGTTTGGAAACAAATGTTAAAAATCGAGCATACCTGTGTGTGGGAGGGGTTGAGGGGTGGGAGGGTGTGTGTGTGGGTGTAGGTGTGTGATGTCTAACCAATCAAAACTCGATCGATACACAGATGCACACCAGTGACCGCACCGCATGTGGCGATGTGGCGCAGACAGGAGCGGCTTCGGAGGTTGACACCGTCGTCTGGACTGAGGAGTTTTTGAAAACGTGGGACCTGATCAGTTTCACAGAAAAGCCGGATGAGGCCAAGGAAACTGGTCCAATCAATACTGGACTAAATCCAATATCTGAAGAAGTGAGAGACTTTGAAGGGTTAGCGATGATCGTAGACTGCTGGGCTTGGATGAGTTTCTAGAGGCTTTTGCCAGTCTAAATATATCTCTTTCTACCATACCAAACAAGCATGTAAGACAAAAATTCATCTCCCCCATTCTAGACAGAAGTAAATGGTTAAACTGTTTTGTTTTTTTTGTTTGTTTGATTGTTTGTGTATTTCATTTACTTGTTTAACACACACACACACACACACACACACACACACGCACACACACACACACACACACACACACACACATACATTCATTTATACCATAATGTTGATGGAACGAAAAAAGGCGGAACCTGGAAGTGCGGAAGTGCAGCGCCTGGACACTCTGTGAGGTGCACATAACAAAAACACACACCCGGCTCCCTCTGCATTAAAAGCCAGGTTAGATCAGGAGTCACAACGCAAATGTTAAGAAGAGCCATTTTGTCCTTTCAACAAAAATGAAATCACCTTGACAGCTGCAACATTTATGCCCAGTATGTCTCAGTATTTGTTAATGTCCTGCTATAAGTTAGGTTAAAATATAAATGAAAACACAGATTTACTTTGCTCTGCTTTAAGCTTTAGCCACTTTCCTTCCATCTCCACCAGAAAACTTTTCCTCTGAAGTAGTTTCTTGTAAAATGTCTCTCAAAGTATTACGAGGCTGAAGTCGCTCCAGCTTGTTGTTTGAATTTTCCTGTTCCACCTTAAATTCTGACTGAGGTGCGGAATGTAAATGCTTTTGCCATACATTCGAAGTTTATAACCCGAAGTTATAAACTCACTAATGAAAACGGGTAGAATGGCTCTAACATGTGCTGCATGGACATCCATTACCACTGGATCTTATTTCACCATAACTGTGCATTTTATCGCAGATGAGTGGCAGCAGCGTCTCCAAACAAGAACAGTGAATGAGAGCCTTCTAGTTCACTTGCCACATCACTTCCATTTGTTTTATTAAAAAAGATATTGGAAATGAATGCATTATAGATCATTACAAATACTTTGCTTTAAAAGTACCAAGTCCTGACACAGTAAGAAAATAGAAATCCTGTATAGAAAAAAAAGATGTATCGATAATAGTTTTATAATCGCATCGCAGCCTAGGTGCCTAGAGATTCCCACCCCTTATATATATATATATACATTCCTAAAATACCACCAAATCCAGCTCCATACATTGCAAGGCTGCCTGCATAGCCAAGCATGATACCACCCGCTTAATTTTGGTAGTAAGAGACATAGCGTTCAGGGTCCATTGTATACGTGTTGAATGACTCCATTTAAAACCTGATTGGATGTTTTACAGGATGTTCTAAAGTGTAATGCAATCACTTTCCCGTGGGAAAAATTGACGTGCTGTTTCTGATCAGTTTTCACCTCTATAGTAATGTTGTTAATGTGAGTCTTAGTTGTTGTGGATCGTTGTTTCTAACAGTGACAACATCGTTTTTGTTTCCTGATATATGTACACACTGTAACAGGGATACAAAGCTGTCTCCTACTGTTTGGTAATCAATGATATCGGTGTAAACGTAAAATGTGTAGAAAGCCCCGTAGATGTCAACAGGGTGTGGCTCATACTGTTTCTGAAAGGCATCCCCTTTTTTTTCCCTTGTAATCTAAAATCTTTTCAACTTTGAATGTTTTATCTCCAGACACATTTATTTTTTGCAACTCTTGTTCATAGAAACAGCCTTGTATAATATCACCATCATAATCTTTCAATCTATAAACAGGCGATTGTCGAAGGATGCGGTCTGATACAGTGAAAAATATAGTGTATAGTGACCCCTGACTTTAGATATTCGCACATCACCAATCTTATACTTAAATATATTTTCCTTGTCTAGTTTGTTTCTCACACCATACAGTGTTTTAAAAAACGATAGATTCATTTTCACTTGTTACATCGACAGGCTTCATTTTTATACTCCTATGATAACTGTTGTTGTACCCGCACACTATGTCTTGTAAAACAATGACAACAATGAAAACAATGACGTTTTGGAATTTATAGCTGTTAGATATGGCCACATACGACTTTTTAGCGTTCTGTTAAAGCATTCTATGACGCAAGCCTTTAGTTCACTACTTGTAGCAAAATGCGTAATTTTGTTTTTTGACATCAGGTTTTGAAAATGTTTGTTGAAAAACTCTTTACCCCTGTCAGTCAGTAACTTTTGAGGCATGCTACCTTCTGCTAGTATGGACGCAAAAGCGTTAGTGACTTCCAAACTCGACTTATTTTTTAACAAACGGGCCCATGCATATTTGCTAAACACATCAATACATGTCAACATATATTTATAACCATCATTTTCCTTAGAATATGCATTCATATCAACAAGATCGGCTTGAAATTGTGAGTCAATACTGTATACTATAATCCTGTTTCTCTTGTAATTATGCCGTATGGGTTTGTGAAGCGTGCATTAATCCTCCCCAGCTAACCAATCTGAAACCTGTTGATCAGACAGACGCACTCCTGTATCCTCTAAAACAGCCTGTTTCAAACAATTTTTACCACCTAATGAACCAGAATTAGAAGGTGTGTAATATACTGATTTCATAAGATCTGACATGTTCACTGATGCCATCACTGAAAATAATGACCAAAATATTGTTTGATTTACTGTTTTATTCACAACTCACAAAGCATCAATGAAATTTCACACACGTCTACATTTCTCTCAACCATATATTCGACAAATGTTTCAACCTTTACAAACAATCTGTTTCTTTGTTGAAAGTTTTGCCACACAAACGTCTAACATATATATACATAGGCAAAGCACATGACTGATTTTCATTGTATTGTTACTCTTAGGCATAAGAGACAGAATCCTACTGATTGTCACATAGGTTGATTCATTAGAATCTATACATAACTGTGTCAAGTGTCCCCATTCATCTGACACTGATTTAACAACATCCGTTTGATTCTTGAAATTTTGTAAATGTTTAGCATCAACATCATGCACGCTATTAAGGAGTTTAAAATCAACCACACAATCCTCAATACATTTATACAACAAATTGGTCAATTTGTAGTTCACACGGTGTTTCAACACACGATCTGACAGACCCCGGAATCCACAAACATTCCCCATTTGTCTTAAACAGCACTGCAGGCATTTGAACCAGCTTTCCAACAATCAGCAGCATCAGTGACAAACTGCCCAGATATGTGATCAACCAGATTTTCTCTTATTTCAGGCATTTTCAACAATGTATGGCTCACACTTTAATACACAGACAACTGTTTCAGCACATCCTTATATGGACATAAATCGTCCTGTCACAGAGGGGTCATAAATCATACATTTGAAAGACAGTGTAGGATAAATACTGCTATTATCTGTAAAGGAACATATGCATTTGTTGAGGAGGCCGAGTTGGAAAATAGATAATCAAGGCTTTAGAAAGAGAATGACATGTTAAACATTGATTATAACCACTAAACCACGCTTTGAGGTAAAAATACAGTATTATTCTATCAACAGGATTGATATACTGTATTAAAAACTTTATTATATGTCGGTACCAATTACCTGATTTTGCAGAAATCCAATGATGTTAATAAACAACACAGAAATAAAACTTTAAGATCAGAAACTATGTACAAAACTCTGATTAGAAGCTACTGAACCACCCATAAATATAAAAATATAAATGTATTTATTTCAAGAACAGTACTGATAAACAGTATTTTAAATTTGTTATATGGTGGTACCACTAATCTAATTTTGCAATCAAATTATTTTAATTAACATACACTTTAGAGTGACAGAATAAAAGAAGTGATCTTACCTTTCACTGTGAGAGTAACAGGATTGCTGTGTTGTGATGATGAGGGTCTGTTATCTCTCTCTCCTCTACACCAGTACTGATCCTGATCTGCTGCTGATCTGATGGTGAAGGTGTATGTCTGAGACTGACTGAGTGCAGTTCTACTGCTGCCTTTATACCACTGATATCTCCAGTTACTGTAAGACTCTATCTCACACTTCAGAGTGACTGACTCTCCAGTGAACACAGGACTCTCTGGATCTACAGTCAGTGTAGGTTTGGGTTTATCTGCAGAACATATTCAGAGAATTTAGAGTCAGTTTCATTAGCAAAACCACAAACTAAACATCTGGTCTCATCTGTACTGCTGTGATACTGAATATAATAAACACTGAAGAGATGATCACACTCACCTGATACAGTCAGTGTAACAGCATCACTGATCTTTGATCTCTGAGAGTCACTCCTCTTCTTTCCTCTACAGGTGTAATTACCACTGTCAGACTCTCTAACAGGGCTTATTCTTATCGTATGCACTGTATTGAATGTGTATAATATTTGATCACTCTTATTCCAGCTGTATCTCCACTCAGTGTCTCCTGCTCCATGTATGACACATCTGAGAGTAGTAGTCTCTCCTATAAACGCTTGTTCATTAGGCTCTACAGACACAACAGCTTTTGGTCTCTCTGGGGAAATGTAATTAATTATTCTCAAAAAAAAATTTGGTGAATGTGTTTTCATGTCTATGTACACCACACAGTTAAATCCACACCAACAATTTCTAGTACCTACAGTGTCCATTTAAGTCCAGCTGGGCAGAAAACCTCCACACTTCCAAGTTATTACTGGAATAAGTAATGTGTAACACTGTAAAAAGCTACACTTGAGATCCAGTACACTGGGACTTCAGGCTTGTACAGTGTCTACAGATCATTGGTTTCAGACATAGGCCTATGAACCACTGTATGCAAGGGGGGCATGTCCTCCCACCTTTCCAAGATATATATTGTTTTCTCCACTTTAATTGGTCCTGTTTGCTGTTTGTTTATGCAAACAGTTTGAATACAGTATCCATGCCCCAGAAGGTAGAAGTAATAATGACAGTGTAGAAAGACAGCCACATAAGTGTATTAAATCCACCATCTGTAGTCTAACATATCTTTACCCTCTTGCAAGCTAGACTTCTGGTTCTCATCCCTCAGACTGGCCAAGAACCAAGAAATAACTTAAAGTTGCGATGCTGTGAACTTCAAAACTCTTTTCACTCCAATGACTATTGTTCCACAAGGCCTTCTGCTGTCAGCAGAGCAGCCAACTGTTTGCTACAAGTGAGTAGAATTTTGTCTGATAAATGTTTTATGTACATTTGAATTGATTTATTTATTTAAGCAGCTGCCTGATCCTGTGATTAAATCATGGCATAAATTTCATGAATATCTCAGACTGTTCATTTTTTCATTTGTGGGTAAACTACAGTACTCAAACAGACTGTTTCTTTATGTAGTTCTATACTTTTCTAGATGTAGTCTTTCACCTGGAGCTACAGCAAAATACACCTGTTTCTTTTTTACTGGAACTGCATCAAATTCTCCATAAATTTCATTTCTGAAGCTAAAAAAAATGACAGCATGTAATCATTTCACTCAAGTTCAGACAATTTGTCATTCTGCACGTGT